AGAAATCAAAGGATTTTTGAAACGCTACAGACAGCAACAGCTCCAGCCCACACACATGGGATTTAACTTCCTGCCAGATGTAATGCAAACAAAACCAGTGCAAGATAACTTAATAACATACTGCAACTACTGATAAAGAAAGTGGAATTAACATCATGTAGATGAGCATTGCTGTGCTGTAGCTGAAAACTAATTCTTTCGAGAAATAGATTTCAGTGCTAAATACAATTAAAGCAATATTCACCATTCACCTTCATATAAACATTTCAAGGTATTAAATACAAATCTTTTTTTCTCATCTTGCCTCTGGAAAAAGCCTCAAATAGCACAAGTATCTGAGGACTGTTTGCTACAAGACAGGAATTCTTCTACAGGGAGTTCCTATCAGGACAGAGCTGAGATACTCTCTCTTGGGATGCAATAGAAGACACCTGGGTTCAGAGAAGTGCTGTCTACACAGAATAATATATTTGAATTAAACTTATGCATGGTTTCAGTGTAAGAGAAAATAAATTCGGAATAGAGTCATGTCAGAACCCTTTCCTTCAATTGTCAAGTACTACACTCCTAAAGCAGGAAAAATTACCATGGATTTCACTTTTCAGAGTTCACAATCAAACCCTGCATTTATCATCAATAAAAACACTGCCTCCTTGCTGGCCGCTGCTCTGACATTTTCTAAATTCCTTCAAATAGTCCAAGTTTCTTTTGTATCTAAAGTTCATCAGAGCAATACTGCCCCCATCTGCTGGCAGTACTAGTTGTCACAGTCTAAGCTGATTTAAATACAAACATTTCACAGTTTCGTTAATAGTCATTTGCTATGCTTTTCCCTTTCTGAAAGGAAGCAGACTCTTTACTGGGTATTCAGAGTGGTGTTATTGATCTTACTTGGGTCCCTGAGCTGCCAAGTCACTAGGTAAGATTAAAGGTAAACCTAGAAATCAAAACCAGGAAATTCAGCTCCTAAATTTTGTATACATCTGTTACTGTCTTTTTGTCTTGGAAATTCAACATTATGCTTAGTTCAAATCTACCTGCTGTTTAGCTATATCCTGTAAGTTCAGAGGAAGCAAATTCACAACTTATCTCTAAAGAGAAGTTTTACAAAATAAAGCAGACCTCATCTGTACTGAAGGGACTTCTAAGGAGGAGGAATATTCCGAAACAGCTCAGAGGTGGACATCAGAAGAGCAGAAGTGCAACTGATTACCCATAAAGGGACAAAAGGGGACAGAAAGGTGGGTCTTCGTACCTCTCACAGACACAAACAGAGGGAACAGGTGACTTGCTCGTGGTAATACAAGAAGCATAAAAAGGCTGGAAAACAAAAGAAGCGCTTCATTTTCCTAGCTCACTGGTTTTACCCCAGACCAAATTCTTTTTTTCTTCCAGACAGGGCTCTGTATAAGCTGAAGAGCTTCAGGAATTTTAAATAATAATAGATGCCTTCAAGCACCACTGGTCATCCCAGCTTCTTCCTCTCCCAGAGTCCTGATGCCATTCACCTAAATCTGCAGTAGGATGCAACAAAACACAAGTGTCAAAATACACAACCCTTCTGAATCAGCCCTGGATCCCTTAGGAAGTGAGTAATTCCTTCTTGAGGTAACAATTCCCTTGAAGGTTTATTATATAAAATATTAGAAACCAATACACAGAATATATGGCTTTTCTATACTTACCTCCATTCAGATTGAGCTGACTGTAACATATCTACCCACTCAACTCTGCATATGTCAGTCTTGCATCTAAAAAAAGAAATTACAAGAAGGAACACACATTAAGAGTTTGCAGTCAACTACTAACATTCAAAATTTGTTTCTAGAGCTACTTTGTTCCTAGGACTACACAGGAAAGCTCTGCTCAGATTCCAGGTTGGATTTGAGTGCACCTTCCTTCCAAGCCACTAAATAAGCCTGCTTTTCTGGACAGGCCTGAGGTGAAATATGAAAAACCAGACAGAGGAAGGGAAAGACAGAGATCTCAGAGTGAAAGGAAAAGCTGTGAAACAGAAGTAAGCTGCAAAATCCGTGAACCTTCATCCCTTTTGTGTTGGAAAAGGCATGTGTCTTTGAAGTCTGAAAAGAAAGAATTTTCTTTGAACATAAAAAAGCCTCTCCATATCGTACTGCTTCTAGCACAAAATAGCTCTAGGTCCCTCAGTAAGTCAAAGCAAGCTGAAAAGCAACAAACCAAGGTGAGGAATAGATCCATCCCTCTAAGGAGAGCACAAGTGTTGATGAAGTGCTGGGAGGTATGGTTTAGTGATGATGCTCCTTGTTTGTTGTGTGGGTGTCTATTTTTGTCAGTTAGGTTGACAGTTGGACAAGATGATCTTTAAGGTCCCTTCCAACCTAGAAGATTCTGTGATTCTGTGTGAGGTGAATTCAGGGTATCCAAATTCAGAATTGAAGATTTTCTCCCTGCATCTGAATTTTCACCTTCTGATATAAGGCTTCCCTGCTGGAAGAATAGTTCAAATCAGGAACCAGGAACCAAAGAAGAGTCACACAGTACAACACTAAAACCTTACAATGTTGTTGTTGTTGTTATACAAGCATTGTAACTGTATTATGTTCAGGCAACTGTATTATAGTACTGAGGTCACTTCAGCAATAACAATTCTTGATTTTCTATATGTTACCATAAGCCCTTCCAGAGAAAGGGCCATTTTGCACTCTGAATGGAATAATCTATCAAGATGTATAAAAGCAGGGACATCAAAGGTTAAGTCCTCATTCTACCACTAAATTAATAAAAGATTCCATGATTACCTGGAATTATCTTGTATTATTATGCAATACCTAAAGGGGTTTCCCTTTTTGAGACTCAGTTACACACTTTAAAAAAAAAAAAAAACAAGAGAGAAGCACAAAATGGTCAGGGCAGCCATCACCTCATTTAATTGAATAGTTGTCTAGTATTTACCTCTATCTTAGCAGGCTGTGTGCACAATTGGACAGCTTTTAGATATACCCATCTGCTGAGCTCAGAGGTTTCTGTGCCAAGCTATTTCTTGCAATTGTTTCTTGCGAGATGGATTACAGCTAAAGTCACCTGAGGCATCACAGCAAGATGCTCTTATTGTAAGGCTGGACACCACAGCGAGCTGTGATGACACAACCCTGTGTCTGAGCTCATCCCGTAAAAAGCAAGGCAAATTCTGTAGATGTTTATGTTTGATATTGGGCATATGAAGAAACACTGGAGGTTCAGACCGATTAATTTACTGGGAGAGGCTCCCTCTCCACCCAAAATAAGACGATTAACAGCTAAAGCCATTATTAATGCTTTTAACCAAATCTGAAATGGCAGGTGGATATAGCCCAGGTAGTTCAGAAGTAGAGCCTCTGCTGGCATAAATTACTCTATATCCCCTTGCACAGCCCATAGTCTTCTCTGTGGGACAAATGGATTGTTTTAAAGACAAAAAGTTTATATTTGCATCTCACTGGCAAATCTGTGGTGATTCTTATATTTCTCTTCCCAGAGATATTCCCAAAATAGGAGAAAAGTTAATCAGGAATTACATCCTAAAAGAGTTATTCTGTCCCTAGGGTGTAATTGGTGTTTCAGGAGTGGCAGGGGGAAAGAGCAAAGAGGCTGGGATGCTCAGGACCTGCACCCCACGAAACACCAGACAAAAAAGGCACCTACTGCCAGGAGAGGTAATGGTCCGCAAAAAGCATCACGGCACTGATGAGGAATAGCTATCATGTTTCCCGCTGAAGCCAGACTTTGAATGACACTTTGCGGAGGTATCAAACACTGGATGCGGCGTTTATTGGCTCTCCCTCATGCACATGATCAGCTCTAGAGGAGGAGTTTGTTCCCAAGGCTACCGAGTCGGGCAAAAGGGCTGGGGTAAGGGGCAGGTGGCTCCCAACGGCTCCGGAGGGGCTTAGGAGCTGGATACACAGCCCAACAAAAGCAGAAACAACATGGTCCGTGCCCTTCTCCTTTCCCAGGCCCAGAGCAAGGAGCAGAACATCAATGCACCGTCCAAAATACAGGAGAAACAAACCTCACCAGTGTTGTGAGAGGTAGGTGCGGGCCTCCCGGATAGGCTTTCATGCTTTGTTAACACCTGAGACTAAGCATTGAAATCTGGCTTCAGGATACTGTGTAGCGTATTTACTGATAAACTCCTTCACCTCTTTTCTCTGTGGATAGAAGAAAAATATATCATTTCAGTGCTGCCTCTTTTTGCTGGTGGTGCAATAGGTAGTCCTTCTTTCCTCGAGCTATTTTCCATCCTCTGTATGTGTTTTTTGCTGCTGCTGATGCACTGATTACTCTGTAGCGCGGTGCAGCTAAAGGAGGTCTATTTTCAGCTGGTTAATTCTTATTTTTCTTTGCTCAATCTGTAGCAGTCCATGTGAGACCACTTTTCTTGCTTTGTTTTCAGGTTTTTCTTTTAGCACTAGGTGAATGGTTTTTTTCTCTTGTAAATTAAAATGTTGTGCCCTCCATTGAGGAATGGTTATGTGTTCTTTTCAGCAGGTATTTAAATATATAAACACGCATGTCTGTCTACTTAAGTTTGCTCCTACTTAAGTTCTCCAGCTCTCTAATGACTTTGTTTTGGGCCCAGTTCATTCACCTGTTCCTGGAAACTTCTAACATGGTGTGTCTGGTATAAGCTGTTGGCTGTTATTTTGAATAACCTGAAAAGAGGGACAGCTTGTTGATATCTGCTTGTTCACTCCTGAACTAAAAACCCAAAATGGTACAGTCAACCACATCATTTTCTTTGCTGAAGTAAAGTGATCGTCTCTTGACTCTGCACCTGCTCAGTGAGAGCTGAAAATACTGGTCAGGTAATCACCTTTGGGAATTTAAAAAAAAAAATAAGTTCATCTCTGAAGAGATTGATGTAAAAAATCAAAATATTTTATTTTGTATTTATGAATGGGATTTCTGGGGACATGCTTTTGGCCCTTTGCCCTTTTCTGTGGCGGGAGGAAGCCTCCTCACCCCAACTTCTGACTTCGGTCATGGCTACCCCCCACAAATGTACTACCTTACCGACCAAATACTGCGAGGAACATGACCCAGAGGCCGTTCCCTGCCGCCGTATGAGAGGATTTTTATCTCCAGTTTCAAGCAAGGCATCAAATCACCTGCCATTACAATCCAGCGACCGTGAGAGGGCCTTAACTCGTGTGCCCGCAGCCTGAGGGGGGCACACGTGAGCCGCCATCTTGGGCCTGAGGGCCGGCACGGGAAGGGAGTGGCGGGGGTGAAGATGGCTTCCGCGCCACAGCTTGGTAGAAGAGGCTGGAGAAGGTATGAGCCAGTTCTCCTCACCGTGAGGGAGCCGCTTCTCTGGGGAGACAATAGCGGCTGCACGCCCTGATGAGGTAAAAATCCCCTTGGAGTGGAGGTATGGGGGGTTTGTAGACGCTAGAGGGACTTCGGGACAGACCTGTGAAGGCGGGAGAAGCCGGTCGGGGCGCTGAGGAGCCCCCTCGTTTCCCGCCACAGAAAGGCAGGTGGCTGCATGTGGAGGGTGTTTTGTCGGCCAGGCCTTTGCCGCTGGCCTCGCTGCCTTCGCTGTGGGCGAGTGACGGGCCAGCCCGGTTTGGGAAAACTGGTCCTGTCCTCGTGGCACAGCTGAGCTTTCTGCAGCTGCTCTGTTGGAGGCAATGGTTGTGTTTTAAAGAAGCATTTGTGGTACTCGTCGTCTGGGATAAAGGGCTCCATTTTTCTCAGTCACCCAGGAAAATCCACCCAGTTTTGACCAGTCACCCGGGAAAATCCAAATAACACAAATAAAATCCCATCAAATACCGTCTGGCTCAAAGCTACCTCATAGCAGTGATTTCTTTTTCATTTTCCCTTTTGTTTTTGTTTTCCCTCTGAGGAAAAGGTTCACAGACTTGTCCCTCAAAGGCTGTTAATAGCAATTGCGCTCCCAAAACTCAAAACATAAGAGTCTAGACTTGCTCTTGCCCACCTTGGGCTCACCCCTTTTCTTTTGGGAATACCTCCAAAAGCACTTTTGTGAGGAAAAAGTTCATTTGGCTTTAATCAATCAGGTTACGTTTGTTGATGAGATAAGGCAGATGTTTATAAACGAAATCTCATCCTCAGTGTTTCTTGTAGAAAAATTATATATCTGGAAACATCACAGGAAAGTGGAAGTGTGTATGATTTGCCACTTAATTGTTGTAAACCTTAACAGGTGATGCTAATAAGTACTTGTAAAAGCCTGCATCTGTGGTGATCCTGACAAAACAAAGCATAAGACTTTAAAAAGGAGAGAAACTATCTCCCTCAATATCCTTTAATTCCTCCTGCAGTATTAAAATTAGATGGGCAAAATTCATTTTTTATACATAAAGCCAGTTCTTAATGTTAGGAAATAAAGATGTCTTTTTCTTTACAGGTGCTGTTACAATGAGAATATCCAGGAATTATCGTAGTACACAGGTTTTTTTGTTATTAGAGAAATTCTTGTACCTACCATCTGTCATTACAGTAAATAGCACACGGAATGAAAATTAACAGATTTTTAAAGTGTAGTCTGTTATACTAATGTTACAGGAAAGAGGTAAACGCATAATGTAAGGATATGGGCACCCAGGGCACTCTACAATAAAGGAGGAATTGCACTGATCATTGTAATTTGTATGCCAGGATAATAGCTTAATTTCTGTCCACAGTGAAATGAGTTCTTCCTGCTGGCAATGGCATTTCTGCACAAACAGCAGGATATAGTAATGCCCTTTGATAGTGAAGTTGCAGGGGTCCAGGATTCTGCCTACTATTAGATTCAGAATTATTCAGCATTGGAAAAGTGATACTTGTGAAATTCAGTGGTTTTACTGGTTTGAGTGATTTTATTTTTTTATTTTATTTTTTCCCAGAAGGTGTTGCTTGGATTTAGTGGTTGTTTTATATATAGTTGTTTATCTGATATTTGAAAGTTTCTTCCAAAGAAGGATCATTAATGAGTTTGAAAATAAATGGCCAGCTGAGAAGAATGGAGATGGTGTTTTTCTTTCTTAAACTTTGATTTACTTATTCACTCACACTCTGATGGATCAAACCAAAATGTCATCTCACCACTGTGCTTACTGCAGCAATGTGTAGTGGCAGATTCATAGGAAAATGGTCAGGAAAAAGTGGTATTTTTGCTTAGTATACCTCAGTATCTCAGTGTCAACGGAATTAGAATGTAAAGACTTATTGAATCTGAATGTCTGTCCCAACTGACAAATTTACTGGTCCTGGGGATTTGTCTAGTCATTCTTTTAACCTGTTTATGCTTTTAGGTTATACTCCACAATAACAGAGCAGTGTTGATAGAACCTCCACCCTTGCCTTTAGCTGATGCCCCTTCTTCCTGCTTTCAGGGTAGCAAACTCCTCAGGATGCTTTTGCCCACGCTCTGCAGCTCTGTTTGCATCTGCATCCTCTAATCTTTTTTCATCAGTTACAGAATGAAAATCCAGGTTTATCAGAATGTGTTAATACAAATGCAGAGAGGCAGCATAACAATGCAGTCTGCAGACCACAAAGAAGTGCTGCATGGACAGAAATCAGCTGTGCATGTTGTAATTGGGTCATTTGTGAATGTCACAGTCCTGGTATGAACACACAACAGTACTGATGCAAATGACAGGGAGCTGCTCCCCTTCCTGATCTCTCATTCCTCCCTCACCTATAGACTTGCCACTTAAAATATTTTTCCATCATTTCAGATTCCTCTTTTTCCCTTAACTATTTTTTATTTTGTGTTTCCTCTTAGCTTTCTTCTATTGACAGCTTATAGGTGAACTGCCAAAACTTGCCTAGTACTCTCACTTAGACTGGGTGTCTTCTCTTTTGGTCAGAAATTAATTTTGCCTTTTTTTTTTTCTTATCTGTCAAATTTCTTTGTACGCATACATTCCCCCCTTCCCAGAAATGTAGCAAGTGATCTGTTGCCTGATCAATTCCAATAAAATGAGATGGCGTGAATTGGCACAGGTTTCCTTTCTTCTGTGCTCGAGGTTTTATATAATCAAACACTTCTCTGATTCTACAAGTTTTCTGAGATGTTTGTTGTTATGCCTGCAAATTAAGTATTTGACGGATTTCTCTGGGTTTGATTAACCATACAGTTAATAGCTTTGTGTCAGTAAAGTATTAGGATAAAAAATGTAGAAATAAAAGGAAATCCCTTTTCAGAAGATCAACCAATTGAGTTCTGTTTGTTGGTGAAGTGTTATTTTACTTGTTTGGACTTTTATACATAATGCCTGCTGGTGGCAAAACATGATAGTTCAATTGACTACAATGGAGGTGCAGCAGTTGAAGATGTGGCATTGTGTTGCCAAATGTAAGTGCAAACCAGGAAAATCCAACAGTGTTTCCAAATAAATTCTTTGCTTTCACTTCTCAGTTACTAATTTCAAGTTGCATTTGTGACGCAGCGCAGTTGGATACACTTCTGTATTCAATCCTGCCTTTTCAGCAAATGTTTCTGTGTGCTATTCTGCAGGGAGGCACTGGAAAGACAAACAAAAGAGGCTCTGGAGCTCCACAAAGAAGCCACTAAATTCCCAATGAAATCAGCGATACATTCTTTGAGTCATGAGGAATCTTTACCAAGTGGTGGTCTGCCTAGCGTAGACAAGTATTAAACAGATTTCAGAACAGGACTTGGGAGTAAATCACTATTAACATTGCAGACTATTATGTGATTTAGAAGGGTGCTCATAAGTTCATGTTTCAAGTTGACTCCTCTTTAGGCCCTGTATCTTGAACAGCTCTTTTTGACACAGAGCCCAAGGTAAAGGCATAGCAGTTCTGAAGTGTTTTTCTCAAGTTGTACGACTGGTGGGGAAAGAGAATTGGTTGGGTTTGTTGTCCTTAGAAAAGAGGATTCCTAGGTTTGACTGTCGATTGATAGGAACCAAGAGGCCCACAAACTAATGCCCAGTTTGTACAGATGACTCTGTATTCTCATGTAAGCACTCATGGTTCACACTTAAATTAATTTGCTTTTCATGTGCTGCTTGCCCATTTCTCAGCAACCAGAATGTTTTAGCTTCTTGCGTTCTCAGCACAGTGATGGAAGACTCAGCCTCTTCTAGTGCTGGTAGCAGTTCACCCCATAGTGTCTTCCGAAATACATACTGATTCTGAGAAGAAAGACATGAGTGGTGCTGGCAAAGAACACTTGGAAAATGTTCTGGAAGAGTAATCACAGAAAGGTAGAGATGTACAGAGAGGCTGAATGAAGTGAGTTGCAAATCTGGGGCAGCTTCTTAAGTATAGATGACCTTTTATTCTTTTTGTTGTTGCTGAGTCTCTGGACAGTTGCACCAGCACTATTTTGAGCAGCCTATTGGCTGCTGTAAATTATATTTGGCTGTCATGATTCCCACTTGTTATTTGATGGACATAAATAGGCAATGGGTAATAAAGTTGTTGGCACGATCCCTGTAACAGTATTCCATACACAGTCAGTCTGCCACAGCACAGGGTGACTAGCTGGCTAACTAAGAAATATTTAAAAATAAAGCAAAAAAGGAAACAAACAAAAATAACCTCTTAATTCTCATACCCATGCTGCTCTCAGCCTTATTTCTTTTTAGGATATGTATTCAGTATATTTGGTTGGTTTAGGTTGGTTGTTTGATATTTTTTTTTTAATTTTATTTTATTTTTATTTTTTTTTTGGTCCTGTAGACTACTGAGCTACATGAGCAACAGAAAATCAGTTTAAGTCTGATCATTGCTGATTTGCAGACCAAGCTGATGGAAGTGCAGTTGGAAAGAGATGGACTTCAGGATACCAGGTATGAAGGCCAAAACAGATATATTATGGAGAATGTATATATGAGTGTTTAGAGGCACACCAGGTCTCCTAGGTAGAGAAACTTGCCCTCAGGAATGAAGACAATGAGGCTATGGGACCTTGGTTTAGAAAATGGCATATTATGTAGCTGTAAAAAACAGCGGTTAATCAACATAAGTATTACATGTATTGGTCAGGATAAAAATCCGTGTTGTGAATCCTGTTTTTTAAATTATTTCTTTGGTTTTCCCAATTCAGACAAAAGGAATTCCAGAGCCAAGAGAATGCAAAAAGGCAGCGAAAAAATACTATTCAGGAGCTGGAAGCTGCCAACCAGCTGCAGGAGGAGATGCTGAGGGAGGCTGACAGGCAAACTGAGGATCTGAAAAAGATGGTACACAGCCACGAGGCAGTACTTCTGGAGCTGCGTGGCATCCTAATGGCCTACGAAGACAGCACGGGCAAGAAACTCTGTGAGCACGAGGACGTTACCAGCCTGCAGATCCACAACCTGAGTGCAGCATTTGCTGACATCTTGCGAGACTTAGACTCAGAGGTGTCATACCTCAAGGAAAAGGTTGTCCTGGTATGTGAAGAAGGTGCTACTTTTCTTTCCAACACTCTGTGTTCTGTTTTTTAGAAAATATTTTTGAAAACTCCGTGAGCTCCCATCTAAACCGGCCTAAGGAAACGGCATAAAGAGATACAAATGCTACTTTGCAGTTAAGGTGGCGAGTGCTGATATACCAGCCTTTTACACTGGCCCCAACTTGAGATTGGTTGTATTGCTGGGATTTAACCTGTATTGTGCACATTTTCACAGTCCAAGGTGGAAGCATAAAGAAGGAAATTGCACTTTGAAAACTACTGTTTAGACTGTCTTTTTTTTAGGGGTTAGCATTATCATCTCTTTACAATAGGTAGAAGACGAACTTGAGTCATTGAAAAAAGATTCACAGACCCAAAAACAACTTATGCTTCAGCAACATCAAATTAGGTACCTTTTCTCCATTTATTTATTCATAAAACATAAATAGATGTTTCTTTCACGTTCCACAGATACTTCTTTGATGATGATAATGATGATCTTGGGGGGTAGGGGAGGAGAGTGGCTGAGGGGCAGCAAGCGCTGTTTTTGAGGACTTAATAATTTTCCATTCCAGATGTTTATTTGCTCTAGACTTTCTGCTGCTCTTTCCTTCCGTGCTAAAAATCTCCTGGTTTATTCACTGTCTCAAAAAATACTATTTTGGAAGAATCTGTACACCTTACTTTTGTGAGTGGTCACTTAGGTGGACATCTAGAATTCGCTGGGATACTAGTTCCACTGCTAAAAGAAAAGATTGAAAGTCATCACTTCAGTGGTTACTTCAGCTTTTTCTTGATGATTTCATTAACAGCTTTGTCCTTCCTTTCTCAAGAATTCCTAATTTCCCCAGCTATCCACCTGAATTGTGCAGTAACCTGTTCAAAATAAAAGGGTCAATAACTTGATACGTAATACTTCAATCACAGTAGAACATCAAAATGTTTACATTTCTGACTACTGAAAAATATCATTGCCTCTTGGAGAAGTTACTATTTGCCAAGACTAAAATTATAACCAGTATTTTCTTTCAAAACAGTATTGGGCAGCTAATAAGGGAGCATGAACAGGAGGTGGCAGCACTAACTGATAAAGCTAGCAGCGCACACAGCTGAGCAAATAGTATCCAAAGCCAGATGGAGATGATTCAGTATGTTTTTTGATTATAGTATAGAAAACATTAAGAGTAACCTTAATTTGAGAGAAAGCTTATGCTGCTAGTTGATACTCTACTCTCTGCCCTACACTTTGGGTTTCTTAGAGTCTTTGTCTAAAGAGTTAAGCGGTCCTTGTATAAATTAAGAGAAAAAGACAAAAACCCATTAAACTATGCTATATAGAGGAGAGGCAAAGTAGCCATGCATCAGGCAGACTCTGAGAATCAGGAGACTCAGGCTGGTTCTCCTCTCAGACTGCTGTGGTTCGGAAAGATAGTAATGCCAGCGAAGTCAGTGGAAGTTCAAACTGGGTCGAGCTGTCAGCTCTGTTCTTGCCACCAGCTTTTGGAATGATGAATCTCTGTTACCTGAGTTGTGAGCAGTTTCGGTGGAGAACGTGGCTAGAGTTGAGGGATGAAATGATAATCATACTTCAATGCAGTGAGTTTCGGTCACCACACTGATTGCTGTGAAAACAGCCACAAATGTTTCACACTTTAATGGTTCTTACAGTTTCTAATTTCTCCACCTAAAACTTTTCTTAGAGAACAAACAAACACCCAAAATTCAGTGCATGCACATCAAGTGAGTCACCTGGAATCTACAGTTTCTCGGCTGCGTTCTGAATTACAAGAAGCTAAGAGGATGTACGAAGACAAGGTATGGATGGGTTTGTGTGTTAGCATTAGTGCCAATGAAACCAGATACGTGGATGTCTGAAATGTTCTGGATACATAAGGAAAGCCTTTTGATAAGGGATTGCTTCAGAAAAACTTTGTGGACAGCAACATAAATTACATTATCCCTAACTCTATTTGTTTGTATTATTTTTATGAACAAGGTATCTTTCTCTAACACAAAATAGCTTTGCAAAACTTAGTGAACACAGACTATTGAACCGGATATATTGAGAGCATACCATAAATTATGCCTTCTGGAAATGCGTAAAATTATTCTGCGCTACAAGCACACTTGCACATGCAGGACAAGAAGACTGTTCCACTATACTAGTGGACTAGAGAATATATCAGCAAAAAAATAGGCAGTAAAAATAGCTTCTTATTTAAGTCATACTGCCCGGAAAAATTCTTTAACTTTAGAGAACATACAGATTACAGCAGCGCTTGAGAAGCGTTCAGGTGCTCAGAGATGCCCCATTGTGAGTTAAGAAAATTTAACATTCATTGAAATCCAAGGGCTTCTTATGAGCAGGACATAATAGAGACGAAGTCAGGCTGGCCAACACCTGTGTATTCAAACTATTTCTTAATCACTTCTTAATTAGAAAGCATGAGTCTTGACAAACTTTTTTAACCACTCTTTTTCCCAAAGACCAACTTTTTTTCAGGTGGTACAGCAGGGAATTGCTGCAGACAAGTGGAGAGAACTTCTTGCAGTCCAGCCACAGAATCTCTGCCACGTCAGTAACTGCAGCATTTTATATCCTGTTTCCATATCACATCTGCTGTGTCTTTCACTTATTTCACTGCTTTAGATTTCAGTTTTATAATCAATGTGACTATATTTAAATTCTTTCTCATTTTTGGTGAAAGATAAATCATGTTTTCCTTAGAAAGTTACCTGAGAACACTTGCTATCCATTCCCTTTGAAAATTAGTGGAGCTGATACATGCAGAAATGCTTGATGGATCCAAATCCATCTTAGATTACAAGTCATGAGGATTTAGGCATCCTTCTCTAAATACTATTGGAAAGGGAAAGTTAAGGTCACAGGAGTGCCATGAAGTTTGGCAGAGCTGATAGTCTCTGATCCAAAAAGCGCTGAGAATGGAATGGCAAGGATGTGTGGGTGAAGCCTGGGGAGCCATGCTGTACGTGTCTGTGCACCATAAAGCAGAGCAGGAGGAACATCATGTTTTATCCTTTCTGTAGGGTTCCATTTTTATCAATTCCATTGATTCACATGTATCAAAACTCAAACTAGTCAATTCCAAAAATGACTTTTCACAGCATGAACTGTGGAGAATCTAAGTTAATCTCCATTACTGTCATTCATTCTCAAGGAAGAGTATAATATATGGTATGCTGCTCATGTTAGGTCTATTTACCTGAATTTTGATTTAAAACATGCAGTGCAGAGCGTAATGTCATATCACATACATAGCTGTAACTGTAGTGTATATTCCTTAGGCATATTCCCTTTTATAATGTTTACCTTACAACAGATGTAAAATTGGAAACTGTGAATTCATTTAAGGCTATTTTTCACAGTCTATCGACTCTAGAAAATACTGTGTTCATATTTCTATAAAAGAACATACTACTTGGTCCAATAAAATTGCTTTAGAATAGGAAGTGTAATACACTGAATGGCTAAGGTAGACTTTAGTGAGAGACAAGTTGGTAGCTGGAGATCATTTGATCTCAGGCTGCTATGTGGAGTCATTCCTGGGAAGGTGTGAGAGAGAATCTAAATAAAGCTTTTGCAACTGTACATCTCCCTTTTACAACAAGCATTCTTCTGCAGCTTCTCTGGCAGGAGAACACCTTAGCAACTAAAATTCTCGAGGGAGTAGATGAAAACTGAAGCCAGTGCATGTTGATGGTACCAGGTAGTTTCAGCAGTCAGAAAATCCAGTACAGAACTTGTTGGGTGAAAATGTAAATATGTAAGTGTTCTGTTTGGATATGCCTATGTTAATATCTTTATTAAAAAGTCTTGTAAACTGATCGTCTCATACAATAACAGAATTATCCTTTGAGAGAAAGTGACTACCACTTGGAGTAAAACATGTTTGCCTGTAGATTTTTATAATATATTTATAGTGAAAGAATGTACCTCCCTGCCTTAGCAGGGACTGTACACAGTCATTGAGCTATGTGGAGAGTGCACTTCAGGCTTAGATTTTCTGTGGAAATAGTGAGTAGCTGTGTAAGGAGGGTTTCAGGGAGAAGCAATCTAGGATTTACTGAGATTTCTCCTTCTGAGGAAGGGAGATGAGAGAAAACCCTTTCTAAAAGGACCTCAGGCAATGACAGGAAGACAGTGATAAAGTCCTTCTGCTGCTTAGGCATTGGAGGTCTAGGAAGAGATGAGATGATCATCTCTTGATTTTGGGTAGGAAAAATTTCGTAAGAAGATGTTCAGAACTTTCCTTGACAACATCCTCTCATATTGAGGTTCCCAGCCCCCATTTGGTGAAGGACGCAAGATTTTTGTACTAGGCCTGCATAAATGGTCCATTACTAATTGAAAAGAATTATGCCATCATTGTAGTTAGATGAATGAAAGAGAGGGGTGGGAGGCAGAAAAAGAAGGGAAGAGATTGCTTTTTTTCACAAACTGAAGAAATGTTTTTAAGGAAGTTGAAAGGAAATGCCCAGATTTTGGTATTAGCTAAAAGACAGATGGCAGATACTAAAGTGTTTATTAGAAGAGCACTGTAGATTTTCTGTATTTCCCCAATGAATGATTCCATATAAATTTGTTTTACTTATACTTGCATTATGTTGGCTTTTCTAACTAGTAGTACTGCAAATCAAGCAAAGAGCCTGAGCTTTTTTCTAAAGCAGCACTTTGGCCATTCCATTCAATGTTTGCAGTGTAGGTAAGGAATTTTTGAAGAGCTATGGATCAGGGTGGAAGCCAAGTGATTCTCAGGAACCTCAGTTAACTCTGCAATGAAATCGGGCCTCATCACTAAAAGAAAACAACACAATTATGAATATACCGACAGAATAACTCTGCTGAACCAGAAGATGACATTTGGACTTCTTTTGAGTCGAACCTAGAGGAAAACTGGAAGAAATCCAATGTACTATTTAAATAGAATACAGTAAGGTAATTCGTACTTAATGTTTGTCTTTATTCTAGGTCAAGGACCTTGAGAAGCAGTTGCACCTAGCTCATTCTGAGATAGCAGAAGCTCAGACAGAACAGGATCAACACAGCCGAGGATCTGGAAATCTAAATGACCAGATTCATCTATTGTTGGTAAAAACAAGTCATAGTATTAAAAAAAGAAATCTTTCTTTCTAAAAGCCTGTCCTAACTGCGGATGTTCAGATTTGTACATTGCTTGTTTCCAAAGGGCAGCAGCCCCCTTATAATTAAGTTGAAGTTTTTATTAAAAATTTGAATTAGTTGTGAAGAAAGTTTCCGAAAGGCCTTTGCTATTAGTGTTGCAGGATGTTCAGAATTAGGATTAACTTTGTCATAAATTCAAAATCCTTGAATCCTGTGCAAATCACATTAAAGATGCTGAACCACCTTCACTTTAGCCTCACAGCTGAATTCCCTGTGTTAAGGAACCTTGGTCCTTTAACATTTTGCAAGACCTATCCAAGATTTTCCTAACAGCACTAAACATTCCTTTGTAACTGATTGAGAATATTAACAAATTGAACATACAGCATAAAAAAATGTTACAACATAAGTTTGGTTTCATCAAAACTGGCTTAATCTACTATAATTAGCTTTGCTTTTTTTTCTTACATAAAATTATTCCTTAATGACTGAATTTTGGGATGTTAGTTTGTGTGGTTTCATTAGATTTGTTTACCCATTTGGTGTCACAGTGCTTCTGAAGGAGATGTTGAAATGGTTTCATTCCATATGGTGTTCTCCTATTCAAGAATACATTAGTGTAAATCTTTTCCTACAGATTATACATAGCTCTGGAGTCAGAGTAATCATTTCATAATTGAAGGTTAGGAATCTAATTTTAGGATTCCATTTGTTGCTGTGTCTTCAGCTCATGTCTTCATTCTGCCATTCCCTGAGCTTCCTACTTAGTTCTCTACTTCAGCTTTAACAATATGCAGGTAGTTAACAATAGCAAAAGTTATGATTAGCAGAAATGCCTATTGATAATTCAATTTGGGCACATGTTAAATTAATATTTTTTTAATTAATAGCTCTGAAAGGTGTATGTCAGTATTTTTAATATTATTTACACTTTAAATTGTCATTTATAATTTAAATTATATACTCTTAAAATTATGTCTGGGGTGGAAAAGATTTAAGCTCTGGAGAACATGTGACAAATTACTGCATGAAATGAAACAAGCAATGAACAATTCTTATTAGTGGTAAATCTGGGTATTTATCAAAGAGCAGCTTTCCTTGGCATGCAATGTTGTGCTTCAGCAGTTTTCATTTGATGTTGACACAATATAATCTTATTTCATTTTGTAGCTTGCACTGATTTGGGGATAGATGTAAATGGCATGGAAGACTTCAGCTTTGAGGTGTTACATGCTTCAAAATAATTATAGCAGCAATATATAAAGTTGAAAGTTACTGCTTTGTTGGAATAAAACATGTAGGAGGTGTCCGACTAGTTTAGCCAATGTTCCTGTCTTTTACCAAGTTGTAAATCCATGCAGTAGCCCCTATTCAGATAGGTAACCATGTAATTGAATGTTGCTAATGTTAAGAGAAAGAATAAAAATAACCTAAATGTGATTCAAGGAAGGAGATTAATGTCTTGTAGACTGAACTTCATAAAAAAGAGATACAACTAAGTCTAGAAAAAGAGCAGAACAAGCGGTTTTGGGATCGGAACACAGAAAACAGCCTCACCATTGACCAGCTGAGGAGAGAACTAGACAACAAAAACATGCAATTGCAGCGCATGGAGAGCACGGTGAAGGAAATGAGGACTGAATGTCACAGACAAATGGAGCGCCAGGTTGGTGAGCAACAGAGGTGTGATAGTGTTCAGGACAGAAAGTGTGCTGGCTGCGGGCTGTGGTTCAGATAGAAATACTGTAATTCTGGTTGCCATGATTGAGAGGCCTCTGGAGCTCTTGTGCCAACGTTTTCCTTCCAAAGATGCAGATACATGATAGTCAGAATTTGCTTTTTGCGGTTTTTTTGTCTTTTAATCTGACCTGTCTAGCCTTCATTTCTTTTTACTGATGAGGAAGCAGAGCATTAGTTTTAGTTTTGATTTTTGACATACTAGCCTTAGGAGAAAATGAATGTTCTGGTAGTGTGTTTGATTTTTTGATCTGTAAAACTCCAAAACAACATTTTGCAAATTTCCAGAAAGTTAGATGCTGCCAGACGTAACAAACTATTGAAGGTAGTATTTTCAGTAGTGAGCACTTCAGTAAGAATAATTAGTAAATTAAAGGCCTTCCTAATGCCTTACTTTATGTAGTGCTTAGTGAAAACGTAATGAAGTTTTTGTTTATAACCCTAAGGTGGATACAGGGATATGTCAGAAAGAATTACTTCTGACAAAGTAGATTCCTAGACAGTGACTTCCAGTACATTCCCCATTCTTCAAGACTTCAGCCCCTCAAAAATGAGCTGTAATTAGGTAACTCACTTTGAATTGTGAGTGAAGATCAATTCCTCTATTTTCTGCCAAACCACGGTCTTGTGCTACCTCGCACAACGTTCTACGTTTTCTCAATCCATTTATTCCCTTTAGGGCCCTTCCACCAGGAAGTTTGTTCTTTTCTTCTGTTTCTGTTTTGTGCTGCATTTCCTGAGTCACAGTACTTTGTGCTTTAAATGGTGCACATTGCTGCCTGCAAGAATAAAATCAGTAATAAATTATTCATGTACATAATTTTTTTTCCCAACTTACAGTGCAGTCAAGTTTTAACGCTTAAAGTTCTTTAGCCTCAACTCCTCTAAATTTTATACTAACATTACTGGTTACTTCTCTTTTTTTTTTTTTTACATCAGTTAAACATTTTTCATTTTCTATGATTAAAAAAACAATACTCAAAGAGATACTTCATTTATTAAAATGGAGGCAGAGGAAAGAAAATGAGAAGAATCACACAGTCATCATAGACCAGACCATGCTGACCTAATTCTTCTATAAAACTCAGATGTTTAAGATGAACTATAGAAAAGCAGAAATGTGACAGGAAATTCTAAAGGTAGAAATAAACATTTCTCTTGGTTGATCCTTATATTGCTGTTGTTCAGATGGCTGCAATTCAGGAAAAAAATGAAAGCATTGAAAGAATCTCCTCTTTGACTGTCCAGCTGGAGTCAACCAAGGAAGCACTCTGTAAAGTTAAAGAAGATCTTGCAGCCAAACAGATGAATTTGGAGACTGCTGAGAAAACAGTGTCAAATCTGGCGGCCCGTCTGCAGGAGAAAGAGGGAGCCCTTGAGGTTACCAATGAGGAGATCAAGAAGCTCTATTCACAACTTGGCAGTAGGATGCAGGAGCTCCAGCATCTAAAGAATGAAGAGGACTGTTTACACAATGTACAGTCAGAGTGTGAAACGCTGAAGCTGCAGCTGTTAGAGAAGGAAAGGATTGTTGAGATCTTCCAAGAGCAAATTGATAACATGACCCAGATCGTGGGCCAGCACAGTCGAACTGCTGGAGCAATGGAAGTTGAGAAATCTCAGCTTGTAAAAGAAATAAATGACTGGAAACTTAAAGTAGAAGAACTTAAGGTGTGCAAATGATGCTGTATTTATGTCTCTGTAAAACAGCAAATGTTTTCTGTTTCTCAATCTGTACATTAATGTGCTAATTCTGTGGTTTTAAAGCAGGCCAGACAATGCAGCTTGAATCCCAACAGCAATAGGAGAGTTAGTGAACAAGAATAATATTATTAGATGACCACCAAAAATTAATAATTCACTGGTGCAAAGCAGTTGCCAAAAGGTTTGTAAAAGCTGGAATATAATGTGCTGTCCTCAGTGATAGAATTTTCCATACCAGTAACAGAACCAGAAATACAAAGTGTTACTGAGAAATAACAGACAGTGAACACTCAGAATTCCTAATGGAATTCCAAATAACCACTGTTTATAAGTGGTTATTTCTCAGACAAGAATTACAGGATATGGTAGTCTTATGCAGGTCAGCATCTTGTGAAAAAATTCACTCCAGATAGGGGATTTCATCCTCTTCTGTGAGAAGATAGTTGAGCGTTAGGAGTGAATATAGAGCTAGTGCTACAAGAGGATGGAAATAATTTTCATATACACCTGGTAAGGTTAAACATGCTGTAAAGCCATCGCATCAGATTCTATTCTACCCTTTTTGCCTGGATTAGCAATTTTAACAAAATGAATTTGTTTATTTTGCTCTGTCATTCTTTCTTGTCCCAAACTCTGACAACTGAGATTTAAAGTAATGATGATGTCTGCACATCTTTGTGGTTATTTTGTGTAATTATGTATATTACGCATGATTACTGTTGTTTTTTATGTAAGTAGATTGCAAAGGATGAAAAAGAAGCCAGAATATGTGAAATGGAGGCCCGACTGAGAGAGCTAGAATTGGAAAAGGTTAAACTGGTGAACACATGCAGTGAGAGACTCCATGCAGTTAATGATATGAAACTGGAAAAAGACCAGCTAATGAACGAACTCCAAGCCGGTCGGAGGGAGCTAGCTAGCCTTACAGGTAGGGAGCCTTGACTTAGGTCAGTTCCAGTAGCTGCTAAATTGGGCTGATGTTAAAAATAGAAGGGCAGCTTGCTTGCTGAAGCCAAATATGGTTGCTGATACAGCAGAAGGGTTGCCTACCAGCACAGGGTGGTCAGATTGCTTCAGAGAGCTAAGTCATGGTTTGGGATTCTGGCATGGAATAATGGGAATACAGTCTTGAGGCCAGTCTCTCACTACCCTGAACAAAAATACTTAAACTACTGACTCTGGAGACGAAAGAAGCAGATTTAGTAAATTACAGAATAGAAACTTGACTATTCTTTCATTTAAGAGCAATAGTGGATGCCATTAACCATCTATGGTCAAAATATAGCGGAACTTAGTTTCTGTTTTGTTGTAATTTTGCTACAATGTTATTTAAAAGCTTATGTTCTAACTTCAAGAACTGTTTTCACAATTAATGTGAAATGTGTAAGATAGTATTTTTAAAAAAAAATTAAAAAATAGGGGCTGGACCCAAGGCAACCACCAAAATTTAGGGAGCTCCTCTCTTAAATCCGCAATGCACCCAGACAGATGATACTGTTCACATGCTTTGCTCTCTACGCACCCCTGTGCTCCAAGAAAATACCCCCTGGTAAGATTTATTTCTTCGTAACTCAGCTATACTTCTAAACTCATTAAATTTTGTAAAAATTGAAGAGATACTGTGATTTTGAATGGAAGGTCTGGTGTAGATTTGACCGGTTCTCTCAGGGTGAATGAGATTGGAGCGAATGACCACAGAGGAATTGGGGCCAAGCTGTTGATAGAGTGTGAGCACACAACTGGCTGGCTGGCTTGTAGCAACTGTGGGGGACAGGAGTTGAAGAGAGATGTAGGAAACAGAGCTGAGAAGCAGAGTTTCAGGAGAATGCTCGACAAATTAGATCAGTTCAGACCTAGGTCTGTCTGTAAGTGTGGCTGGAGAGAAGAATGGCAATGGCAACATGCTGTCTCGCTGATACCCTTAGCTTTCACAATATGCAGTTGGTTCTAGCAGCAGGAACTCAGAAATGTGGGTTTATATCACTTTATTGAACTGTTGGTTTGGCAAGCAACCAGAGAACACATTTGTTTCTGGTGAAACAGAATCTTTTGCTGATATGCAGGACAATGAACTACTAGTGCATTTCTTAGCAATGGATGTTATTTGCTTTATGTCTTAGCTATCTGCATATCTAATACTCCTTTAAAGAGAGTAGGCAAAAGATCAGTTGTCTTAGTCTAGAAAAATGATAATTTTTGTCATTATAATTTCCATCTTTACTTACTTTCACCAGAAGAATTTGAAGATCTGAAGAGGGATTACCAAGATAAAATTGAGGAGATGGAAAATACTGCAAACAAACTGAAAATGCGGTTGAAATCTGCCAAAGCTGAACTGGAACAGACCAGAACTGCTCTAAAGACTATGGAGGGATCTGATGGCCATGGTAATTATGGACTGAGCTTCCCAAAAAACACATTTGTCTTTTTAACAAGAGGGTTTTTATAAGTGTTGATCCCTCAATAGATGCTATAAGAATATTCCAGATATTTTGTGAAATAAATAAACAGTATTGCAGATGACAACATATTTTTATGTTACCATTTACTACATACTGTAAAACTTAAATCATGAGTTGAGTTTTCTCGGGTGATGTTTATGCGTATTTCCAGGGAATGCTTGCTTGTCTTGTGTGTGTGATGGGTCTGATGCCACTGCCTTGGACAAAACTCTGGCTGATTCTAACGGGTGGTTTGCACACGTAAATGACTATGGGATCCTCATTCAGCTTACTTGTTCTAACATATTGCTGATAACAGACTTCCAGAGTCTTTTGTCAGAACTCCGAATCCATAATTAATGTTGTTAATTGAGAATTAACCTTGTCTTTTACAGCTATGAAAGTTGCAGTGGGAATGCAGAAACAGATCACAGCCAAGAGAGGACAGATAGATGCATTGCAGATCAAGATAAAATTCTTGGAAGAGGCAATGACAAATGCTGCTAAGGTCACAAGAGCTCCATGTAAAAGTATTTTACTGTAGCTAGAGAAACTTTTCTTTGGAAAAATGCATGGCCAAAAGGACAATTGCCCAAGAAAGAGCAAAGAGAATTTTACTTGATGTAATGGGCACCTTCCTTGTCATAGAATCATAGAATGGCTTGGGTTGGAAGGGACCTTAAAGATCATTCAGTTCCAATCCCCCTGCCCTGAGCAGGGGTGGGCACCTCCAACTAGACCAGGTTGCTCAAAGCCCCATCCACCCTGGCCTTGAACACTTCTACATCCACCACTTCTCTGGGCAACCAGTGCCAGTGTTTCACCACCCTCACAGTAATTAATTTCTTCCTAGTATCTAATTTTAATCACCCCTCTTTCAGTTTAAAACCATTACCGCTCATCCTGTCACTCCACTGCCTTATCAAATCCCTCCCCATCTCTCCTGTAGGCCCCTTTTAGGTACTAGAAGGTTGCTAAAAGGTCTCCCTGGAGCTTTTTCTTCTCCAGGCTGAACAACCCCAACTCTCTCAGCCTGTTCTCCTGGTAACATGCATCAGGGAATACCTCCACCACATAAATTAGCCTTCTGCATAGGGACAAGTTTTAATTTATATTTGTTCTCCATGAAATATCAGTACTAGTTGTAAGGAGAATCAAGCTCTTACATATGAGTTATTTTTTCAAATGTCAACTAATGCATTCTGTGTCCTTCTGAATTTGGCCCACAGTGCTTCCCCACTTTGTTTCCTGAGGCAGTTCTTCGCAATTCTGGTTGTAGCCACTGTATGTCAAGGTCTGTCTAGCACGTTGAGGTCTTTCTACCATTTTCTGTGACAAAGGAATCATTCTCTAATCAATAGCTGGAGTTTACTGAATGATCATTTATATCTGTTTACTGTAGTCTGTCCTCCTCCTTTACTGACTTTGAATCCTGTGGATCCTAAAGCTTAAATTTCCAGTTGCAAAATGAATCTAAAATCTGAGATGTTACTTCATCAGGACCAGTCAAATTGTATTTTTTTATAAGACCTATCTTCTTGTTGAAAACTTCATCTTTCTGCAAGATGCAATAGCTAAGCTTCTGAAAGGGTTAATTCAGATCTTTCAAAGAGAAAAAAAAGTTGCAGAAAACAAGTATGTATAATGTAGGTAGTTACAAATTCCTGACTTGTACTTTCATTGTCCTTATTTTGAATTCAGGAGAAGCATTACCTCAGAGAAGAAAATCATAAACTAAGTAAAGAATTGAGCTATATTGTAGCAGACAATACCAAGATTGCTGGGGAACTGGAGATTCTGAGATCACAAGACAAACGTCTGAAAGAAAAAATATCTAAGATGGAGGCAGCCCTTGATAAGGTAATTTTAGGTAGCTTGCAGTTCAGTGAGACCTCTGCAGTCACTTGGGAAGAGACAACGTCTGACCTCTTACCTAGGTTGTATTTTGCATGTCCTATTTACATGTACTGTAAGATACCTGAAGAGTTGTCTATAGTTTAGACTGTCTTCTCTAATGGTAAAAGGCTTCTATTTTCATTAAGAGAATTCTTGATTTACTCCTTACTAGCTCAGGGAAATACAAACTGTAGGGAATTTAAAGCAGATTGACCTTTCAGGCAGTAGATTGACCTTCCAGACCTTCCACTGGCTCTTGGCATGGCTCCTTTCCCTGGCGAGAGGGACTGGAACTGAGCATGGTCACACACTGACTCAACACACTTGTCTGTGCTCAACCCTTTTGGGACCTTAGTTAGCCAGCTATGGGTCCCTCAGGGTGAGGGAAATTTGTAGGAACATTACATTGTTTCATTTGCCTTTTTTAGTTGAGGTTCCTGTTGCTGACATACCTGACTCATAAGGGTAGTCTTTACATTTTGTTCTGACTAGCATATAAGCCCCAGGTGCCCTACAGCTAAGCTGCTGCTTTTCCTGAAGGAAGACTCCTTTTCAGCTGCTCAGAATTCTAGTTTTTCAGGATGTAAATTTCCATGTAAGGTGTTGTTTTCAAATTGCTTTATTACTTTAAAAAAATTAATAAAAGTAATTGTGATACCTTCTCCCATCTGTGGCATTTCTTACTTTAAATGCTTGATGCTGGAAACGACTTTCATCATGCACAGTCCTAGCCAGCTGAGAGAGAAGCTGAAACCCAGTGGAGACAGGTGCTCACTGAAAACTAGCACATGTGATCACTAAATAACAATTCTTAGAAATCAGTGAAGTTTGTACTATGTCCTCTCACAGGATGCTAGTACATACCATTGCAGAGCATCCATTTTATAAACATTATAAAGTGTAATTGGCCATCTTGCTCATCATCAATGATTTGGAGTTAAATGTTCAAAAAGCTGCAGCTTGTAACTGTACATCCCCAGTGCCTCAGGGAGCCTGCCTGTGCCTCAGCAGCAGTTGTAAAGAAGCACAGAAATACAGACAGGTTTTGTTGAAAACAGAAGAGAGAACAAAACAGAAGAGGGAACTCTGCTAGAGTGATAGAAGCGCCTGGTTTGTAAAGATATTTCTCTCTTCTTGTGCTTTGGCTTGGGGCTTCCTCTCTTCTTGCTATCCCTTAGTCACTCAGTGAAAAATAGATACATTATTAGATCTTCTCACACCTTTCAAAGTAAACTTTTAAAAGGAGGAGTAATATATAACAACGTAGCAAAGACAGGTTAACAAAGTTATCAGCCACCCATTTTAAAAACCTAGAGTATAGTTTTGCCTCATTAGCAAAACTCATTAGTTGAGTCTCCTAATCCCAGCGGTGTTCAGTATGTCTAGGACTGTCCCTGACAGGATTAGCTCCTTCTGTGATAGAATGGTCTGTGTATTATGGCTATAAGGATCATATAACCAGTCAGTTGTTTTTGTAACCCTATTAAGAATGGTCATCTTGCACTATTTCTATTCTGATAGCAGTAGATAAATACAGCATCTGTATATGTACCTTGTTGTTTCTTAATCGGAAGGAAAACAGGAAAAACTAATCCACAGAAAGTTATCAAAATTAACTTATGCCTCTTCTATCCTCTCTTGCAGGCATCCATGCAGTTTGCAGAATGTCAGTGCATAATCCAGTGTCAGGCACAAGAAGCTATGCGCTTCAGACTGCAGCATACTTTAGATGTGAAAGTAAGTTACTGAGGAGCATGGGTATAAAGTTAGAGGGAAGAGGGAACTCTGCTAGAGTGATAGAAGCGCCTGGTTTGTAAAGATATTTCTCTCTTCTTGTGCTTTGGCTTGGGGCTTCCTCTCTTCTTGCTATCCCTTAGTCACTCAGTGAAAAATAGATACATTATTAGATCTTCTCACACCTTTCAAAGTAAACTTTTAAAAGGAGGAGTAATATATAACAATGTAGCAAAGACAGGTTAACAAAGTTATCAGCCACCCATTTTAAAAACCTAGAGTATAGTTTTGCCTCATTAGCACAGTTGAGTCTCCTAATCCCAGCGGTGTTCAGTATGTCTAGGACTGTCCCTGACAGGATTAGCTCCTTCTGTGATAGAATGGTCTGTGTATTATGGCTATAAGGATCATATAACCAGTCAGTTGTTTTTGTAACCCTATTAAGAATGGTCATCTTGCACTATTTCTATTCTGATAGCAGTAGATAAATACAGCATCTGTATATGTACCTTGTTGTTTCTTAATCGGAAGGAAAACAGGAAAAACTAATCCACAGAAAGTTATCAAAATTAACTTATGCCTCTTCTATCCTCTCTTGCAGGCATCCATGCAGTTTGCAGAATGTCAGTGCATAATCCAGTGTCAGGCACAAGAAGCTATGCGCTTCAGACTGCAGCATACTTTAGATGTGAAAGTAAGTTACTGAGGAGCATGGGTATAAAGTTAGAGGCATTTACTTCATGTCCTAACTTTATGTTTAACCTTTTTTATTGCAAAGTACTCTAAAAAGTTTGTATTCTGAAACCTTTTTTCACTTGCTGCACAAGTCATGTCCATAATTTCAGTTACTATGAAGTACTATATATAGTAAGTGCAACAAAAAAATTAAACAGCCGCAGGAATATTGGACCATAAGCTTCTTCTGCTAAGCTTTGGTTTCAGTGATACTTCAGCATTTTATTGTGGCCCTACACAAATAAAAGTTAGAAATGTTCATGTTGTTATTATGAAAAATGAATTAGAGAGACATGTTCTGTAAGGATGCCTTTTACTAGTGTAGCTGTTAGTGATAGAAAGTACTAATGAGCTTTTGGGCATCCACATCCTTCTTCAGGCCTGAAATAAAACCAGCAGCTTTAAAGCTACATACAGTCTGAAAACAAGGGCTCTGAGTTTAATTTGATCATGCTAATTAGTTAGCACAAAAAACCATTTGGCAAGGGGAAAGGAAATATGGTCATAAGGCATCTGGGACAGGAAAAGGAAGATATATAATTGAGATCTGTGGAGCTATATAGCATTTATGAAAGATAGAGTACAGAGGAAATAGTACAGTAATAAAAAACCAGTATCTCTATTAAGAGCCCGGAATTTAGTTCAAGCTCTATCTTTTACTAATAATTTTACTAGACAATACTATTTACCTTTGCCTTATTTATAACCATAGACTATTAAGGCTGCAATGAAACTATTACTATAAACAAATGGTACAGTTGGAACAGTTGTCCTAAAAAATTATCGTTGATTTTAGTGACCCGTCCCAGTTGCCAGTTTTGAGTGAGAAACAAAATGTTGTATTCAAAATACAAATCTACATAAGCCATACAAAAAGTAACTCATACGAACAACAGCAAAGGTGGGGAATCTCATCTTCAAACAAAAGAAATTCTCACCCAAGGGGGTGAAAAAAAGGTATAAGAACTGAGGGACAGTTTAATTTTGTGGTGGCCCAGAGATATCCTCCACTTGAATGGTCAAAATTCTGAAAATGAATGAAGCTGCCACTCTTGCATCCAGTTCAGTCACTAGAAGGGTGTGGTCTGAGCACTCCTAAAAAGACTAAAGGAGATGCCCTATTACAGAGAGTGTGTTGTCATTGCTCATTTATTCTCCTTAGCTATATACATGCTTATTCTGCTTGGCTAATGGTTTTCTGCAGGAGCTGCAGGGCCCAGGCTACTCATCAGGTTCAGGCAAGCTGCGGCACGTGGTCCCTCTTTCCCACCTGCACTCTGCTGTCGTGCCACCTTCCCGGAACTTGGCCAGCTGTGCCCTTTGTGTGAGTACTGGCCCCAAAATGGGAAAATGCATTGGAAACAGGGATGTTCCAAAGATAAAAAATAACATGGAATTTCTAACTGGGAGAGCATTTTGTTTGGTAGTGTTCAGGAGTGAATTCTTAACACCAAAGATGAAATAATTTTCTGTAGCTTTTCATACATTATGGCCTTTTAGATTTTCTTTTTTTCCATTTGCAAAATATATGTAAAAAACACCTGAACAATAAAAAAATCTGTAGATTTTAATAGGAATTTATCTCACCTCTATCACCAGTAACATTTATAAATTATTAACACTGAAGGTGCTTATCTGCAACCAGTTTGGTTTTTACTTTTTTTTCCCTAGTACTTTAATTGCTATAAATCACTTACATTTGGCAGTGAAAATAGAATTGTACCTAGTTCCTGATGAATTTCATCATCTGATTGACCTGTAGTAGTTTTAGTACTTAAATCTTTCTCCCAGCTGGCCTTCAATGATTTTGACCAATTTTATCCTAAAAGGTGAATCATTGCTCTTCCTTCCTTTTGTTTTTGTACATCTGCATTTAGATTTAAATTAGATGCTACTGTTTTTCTAGTTTTTCATTACAGAAAGCAACAACTCAAACCTCTCATGCAAAAAAAAAAATAATCTTCTGTATTTTCTGTATAGATTTTACATAATTCTTCAAAAGGGACTTCTTTTCATTAATTATTACCTCAAAGTCTGTAGGAGACTACAAGTTAGTGCAGATATTTTTGGTAATATTTTCTGGTTTACTTCTGATGTGGTGACAGACATTTACATCAAGGAACAAAGGATACTTAATTCTGTGAAATCCCTGCAGCATCAGGCACTCCCATTCTCTTTTCTTTAAGTTAATCAGTTTATACTTCTGAGTACAGAGAAGGAAAAAGGACTGATTTTTAATGTATTACCATGCTGACAACCTAACAGGTTGTAGGAGAACTTGATTCAAGGTCTACTTGAACCTTCCTGGTTCCTGCATGTGAGTTATTGTACAAAATGAAGCAACTCCAACACTTGAGATGGAGACCCTACCTGGTCAATATCCTAGTTTCTTAGCCAGAATGTGGGAAAGAAGGTTTTGGTCTGGCTCAGTATCACATTGGCCTATTATGAAGCTGAGGATTTGTGTTCTGCTGAAACTAGTGTGTTTCCATTGGAAATGACATTTTTTTTCAATGAGAACATGTTAGCAAAATGCTTCTAGCCAATTCCATCCAGAGATGAAGCATAAATCAGTGGGAGCAGTGCTTTGAACACGTGAAGTGCTGAGTAGTCTGAAAAATCCAGTTCTTCATGGAAAGAATAATTCTTTGAACCAGGCCTTTGCCTCAAGTCCTTATCTGTAAAATGAGAATAATATTGCACTTTATCTTAGAGTATGACTGTGACAATAAAGTGGTTTATATTTGCAGACAACTCGGCTGTTACAGAAATGAGTGCCTAGAAAACTGATGTACTAGTATTTCTGTCTTCAGAGCTGTGTTTCTGTACCATACAGTAATACCTGGGATCACAGGTTAAAAAGGAAAAAGCAGAGTCCTCACATAAACAAAGATTATTGGTTCTGAGTACTGAAAAAGGTCATGGTTGTATTGGGTCAAGGGAAGTGTTCATAATTAAAGGCTTATTTTAATGTTTTTGACCTTGAAACAGTAGTCACAACTTTTTTACAACATTTATTCAAATTACAGATGTTATCTGTGTTCTCCCTTAATCATATTTAATCACTTTACACGTCTGTTAGATAACTTTTCAGATGCAATTCCAGAGTGCAATCATATTCGGAGAGTATTTTGACAATCTTGAAGTTACCATGATCTAGCCTCCACCACTTTTTAACTAAAATTACAAAAAATCTGCCCTGTTTCTAACTGGTAAGGCAAGAGTGGTGGGGGGAAAACATATGACTTTGGATGAGTATATGTAAGTATCGAAAAAAAGAGTGCCTTTATAAATACTTTGTAACTGAGTGATTTTATTTCAGATGCCTTCCAAGCCAGGCATTTTGAAGGAGGAACCATTGCAGGATCTAAAGAGGATTCTTCAAGAATTAACCAGCTCAGACAATAACATTCCCTCTGTGGATCTTGGCAAGGAATGCAGCAATGGTGGGAGAAAATCACCATCAGCAACCATGAGAAATACAATGTAAGAGTAATAGACTGTTATTTCTGTTGTGTGCTGTATACTTGTGTTGCTTTCTATACTTGTATTGCTAGGATCTGGTCGTTCATGTGCTTCAGGAGCAGTATAGGATGCCTTTTTGCAAGAGAGTTGGGTTTCTGAGTTAGCTTGAGATAATCTGAAAGCTGCCAAAGCTTCTTTGTTTGCCAGGTTCCTCATATGCTTTAGGTGGTAGGGAAATAGAAGGTGACTACACCATTTGCCTTTGCTTTTTGGCATTTCTGCTTTTGCTTTCCTTTTTTCCTTCTTATTCTGGTTTATCTAAATAGCTCTAATAGACTTTTTTTAGTGAACTCATATAACAATTTTACGATGCCTTTTCTTCACTATAAGAACAGGGCTGCTATTGCACTCTGCCTTAAAAACAAGCTTATCTTCTGAAAATGTGAAATGCATTAATCCTACTGGCACGGCTTTTGCTGTGATTTTGACAACAATATGTTTTTCCATGCAGGGAGGCTGCAGCTAGAGACTCTGCTCCTAGCATTGTGGAAAAGGACACTGTTGGACGGTGAGAAGTGCTTTTTTTTAGCTGAATAACCTGCTTCTTAAAGTACTCATTTGCAATTTGGTTTCTAAGACATTTTAAATACAGCATCAGTCCTGAGCCTGTTCTTATTGTTTTATTCATAATGCTAAAAGCTTCCTGGGAATTACAAAACAAAGCTGTGATCTTACTTTGATCCCTCTAAGAGCGAGCTCTGGAATGTTTTTACATTGTTTGCTTTTTATTTACATGTATAAAATCTGAAGGTTACGTATGAGAGCTTCACATTCTCACTGTGGAGGTTACCTAGCATTACCCAAACTTAGCACAGTACTCCCAGAATGTAAGTTTTGCCATTGTTTTGCTTGCAGGGATCCTTCATGCTTACATACTGGAGATCCTCAGTCCCAAGGTGTTACCCTGCCCTTTACGTCCCTTGGTAAGTTTTCACTGGCTGCGTTTGAGGTTGAATGTCACCTCTCAATGTTGAACTGGAACATGAGAGAATTTTACAGAAAATATAGTCCAGATACAGTATATTTTCCTAGGTGACTTACTCAAATAGCTCTTAGCAGGTGTTGCTACAAAGTCTCTATTGCATTTACTGCAAAATCTGTATCTTTTTTCTTTTTTCTGTGAAAACTTCCTGCAGATGCTGATATATCTAATTGTTCTCTATTATTACTTAAGCCACTGTGCTTCAGAGATAGGCTAGAACTCTTCTGTTTGTCCTGAGGAGTAACTACTACATGTCCTGTTTTTATATTTCTGAATATTAAAGAAAATCTCCTGGGTGGTTACTGTCAGCTTTCTAGCAAACCTTCTGCAACATCCAGGGATTTTTCCTGGCTTCCAAAATAGTTCAAAGTAGTATTCTTTACATACAGGACTTGAGAAGTAGCTGAACAAGGGCAGTTCATTAGAAACCCCATGAGGTATTTTTGAGGCATCTCAGGAGGGGTGTTAGTAAACAGAGTGTTAGTAAACAGATTGTGGGAAGAAAAAGAGAATTGTAGTAAATCTTCCCCTCGTTGGTTGCATGCAAGCTCTTTTTTTTTTTTTTTTTGCATATTTCTATGCATATCTTGTCTCTTTTCCTTATGACTCTCTCTCTGCCAGGAATTCAAAGCCTATCAATCAGTTATTGGAAAGGAGGGAAATGGCAGACCTGTGTAAGCAACATTGTTTTTTCTGCTTCTTATACCTAAGTAATGAGATCCAAGTCAGGTAGCGTATGGGGAGTCTTGGGTTGTTAGCAGCTGTGATACTCCTATCAGTCTGGTTTGGAATAAACATTGTGTGAGTAGCCAGCAGAAAAAAAAAAAACAGGCCCTACTTTCTTCTGGGCAAGTTTAGTGGCCATTCTTCACGTGACAATCACTTTAACAGAAATAATGTTTTGCAAAGAGGCTGTAGTCTCCTGCTACCTTGGCTACTAATGAAGAGTGGAAAGGAGAGAGCCATGAAGGGAAACCAACCCTGGAACTGTTACAAAGATAACATCAAAGCTGGTGTGGGGTTTCTCTTCAGGTATGTGCTCACTGCTTTTTGCTTGGATATCTCTTAGGAGGTACATCCACCTTCTCAGCAGCTCCTTGTCGTACGTTCTCCCCCAAGAAGGTGTCTCAGGAAGAAAGATACAGAGAAAGGTCTCCAGTACACTTGCTGTTAACTTCTCCACCCGGTGACCTTGCAGCTGGCCCCAGAGCCTCACCAGAGCACAGACCATCCACAAGGAAGGCTGGCTCTCCAGAGGGTGCAGACACAGTCCCACAGACAAGTAAGTCTGGTCCCATTTACTTGGTCCAAAAAGCTTGGCTGGGTCTCTTCCCAGCTGGCACAGTCAGCAAGTTACGAACTGTAAGTTAAATTCAGCCATTCATCAATTCTATAGGAACCAGTGGATTCCCACCATCGTTCACTGATGCAGTCTTTTACAGGTTATGACTGTGGTACCTGTACTTCATACTGCATTTATGTTGTATGTACCTTTGTAATACATTGCTTATGGAATCTGGCCATGTTGCTGAACGTAAACTGTAGCAATTCTCAAATGTACAGGGCTGACATGGGATTGATCTCCTACTTGTGGTTCTGGCAAGTGCGATTACAGTATGCAAATTTATTGAAACAATTAACTGATGGTTCATTTTAAAGCACTGCCTCAGTGGTTCTGGCCCACTTACCTAAAAGTGACCTGTTCTTGCTTACATCAGACTGCCTTCGCCCTGTCACAGTTCTGTTCCAGTAGAAAGTTTTTTCTGTCATAAATGAGTTGTGAGTAAAATGTAGCAGCTAGTTAATGTACTGTACAAAGAGGAGAGAAGATAAATTCCATACACCACTCAATTTAAGAACTGGTAAATTGCTATATTAAGGTAAATAGGCTGTAGGGATGTGTAACATCAATATTTACAGTAACAGGCAACACAATTGCCTAATATTAATATTTGCAATAGTTTTTGTGATTTCTGTAACACATTTTTAAAAGTCCTAGGGTTTACTGAAAATACTGATGTAAGGCTGTGTTTGTGTAGCTCTTAAGTGATGAAAATAAGCTTTCCTGCATCACAAAATATGTGTGAGGATGATGAGCATTTTCAAGGTGGTCTGTTAATTACTTACCAGTGAGCCAGGCTGTCAGGACTGCTTTATAACACTTAAGTGGCAGAAAGACCCCAAAATGAGGAGATGCAATAGGAAAAGCAGGTAAGCAACAACATTTTCAAATAATACTGACCAAATTCCATTTTTTAAACATTACATTTCTCTATTTTGCAAGGTCTGAAAATATCATTTCTCTTAGAGGACACATAAGCACTGCAGGTAGGAGTGTAATAGAGATGTACACCTAGCACTAAGCTAGTTCTGGTGTAGGCAAAAATCTAACCATAACCAAAAGGACTAATGTTTCCTGCTTCTCAGGTGGGATTTCTTTGTAGTTTCAACCTAACTTTAGCATGTCTGTATTGTGTTGCTATTTTATTAACAGAGACTTCTCCTCAGTCACTTGGTCTTTTGCATTTTGGAAACATCAGGATTTTCTCTTTATGCAGAGTGGTGTCTCAAACAGCTGGGCTGAGCAGTCATCCTGACCAGAACAGTATCATTGTTTCTCATTGACCGTTGCTTCCCCCAGCTGTCTGGCTGTGCAAAAATGAACTGCCTATTATTTAGCTAATCTGTATTTTTAATGCATGTTTAACAACTAAGAAACGCCTGTTCATAAGCAGAGCACAAATGTGCATGGCATTTCCCTGTTAAAGCACAGAACTGGCTATGTGAGTGAGCACATGCAAAGTTCTGAACTTGTAGAGCAACACAACCATCCCTGTAATGAGCCTCAGTTCTGGATTGCACCTGATTTAGGAAACACACAGGCTTTGTAGTGTGGATGGCTCTGAAAGTGGCCATAAACCCCAAATTCTTTCCACGTAGACCGGGGAGATCTAGCAAGTCACAACGGTGACTTTCAGTCAATTGCCAGTCATTTAGTTCAAAGAGAAAGATAAGTGGAATCACTTTTTTTTTTTATGTGTTTTGGGGTTTTGGGTTTGTTTGTTAATTTTAATCTGGTCAGCCAGTTACCTCCATCTCTGGATTTTTTTTCTTTTTTTTTTGCCTCTTTTTATTTGAGGGTCGATCACTTCAGCAAAAAATGAAACAGTTTCAAGTTCTGGTCAGAAGGGGCTCCAGGAGACTAATTGTAAAGTACTGCTGTGACCATGTCAGTCTGGGGGTGTTGGTGTTCAGTCAGACAGGCACAATGCCTGTTGAATTTTGCACTGGTTTGGATATTCAAAGACCTGGAATTTCTGGTTTTATTTCTGGCTTTAGTAAGTTACATCTTTCTGAACTTTAGTTTTCCATCTGGAAAATGAAGCTGATGCTACTGCTTTCCTTTGTGCAACCCTTGCAGTTTTACTGGCAAAGAGGGACTTAAAAATGGTGGGCATAAATACTATTTTAGTAACATAAAAGCACTTTTTCTTTGTTCCCCAAATGGGGTAATTTATAGGCAATAAAGAAATGTGGTTGTATTTTCACTTGAATAGAAATACCACTAGGTATACATTTCTGTTAATAACCTTGTTGTCTTATGTATTTTCTTTGCTACTGGAAGTTTTATTGATTGAAATTTTGTTTTCTAAGAACTTTACTTTAGATGGAATGTTTAAATATTTTATAATCACTTTTTTAAAAATCTGTGGTAACATATTGATGAATAATTTTCTCAGTAGCTTCTGAGCCCATGGAAACGAGTGAGAATACAACTAGGAGGCTACAGGACAAGCTGGAAAGCCTGCAAAGCCTGGTGGAATCATTGCAGATAAAACACCAAGGTGCCAGAATTTACCAAAAATATTCCTATTTTATTTAAAATACCCACAGTCTCCAGAAACTGTTCCTGTTACCTGCCAAAGCACTACCTGTGGTTTGCATGAGGTCTCTTCAGATGTGCCTCTTCTACTAGCAGTACCCACTTCTACATTGTCCTGCTCCTAGGAGAGTAATTAGATTAATTCCACAGTGCACTGTTGCTCAGCCCCTTAACTCTAATAAGCTTCAAGATCCTTAACATTTCAAACATGGCAGCTGGTCAGGGGTGCCCTCGTGTGCTGTCGTATCCAATTAAATGAAATTTTTAACAAGCTGATCAGTCTTTCGTGGAAACTGAAAGATACTCTGACAACAGTTGACTCCAAAAATGTAGTTTCCCAGCAGTGGCTTCAGAAGCACATTCTTTCCTCTTTAACTTTTTTAAAATCTGAGATGACCACAGTGACAATGGAGAAATTCCCAGGTTCTCTACCTGCTGCCTTTGAAGTCGCTGGTGAAATGCTGCTGAACTTGCTGTGGTGGCAGGATGCCAAGTGAGATGGAATTTCTTCTCTCTGCTCTTTTTCTTATTGCACATTCCAGTTGCTTCCCCTTTGCCCCCTTAAGTCTTGCTGCACAGATTTGAGAAATTTCCCCACATCATACACTGTGCATGTGTCAGGGATATACAAGTGACCTTATTTAAGTAAAACTAATCAAATTATTTCTATTTGATGTAAGGTGAGTTTTCTCATTTTTATTCTTTGCCATCCGTTAACATCTTCAATTTGCCCATTTTCAGTATCCACATAAAAATATGTATTCTTATCTGTAATGTGTCAAGAGTTACAATATAAAAGAGGGAGGTGGAAAGCCTTTTATGTACACACTAAGTAGACTCATTTCCATGAGTGTTGGACCAAAGGTATTGATTTCACACCATCCCATAAAAGAGATTCTGAAATCAATGGCATTTCACCACTGCTCCAGCATTTGGTGCTTTAGCTTCACAAAGCAGGTGAGGTGGTGCCTGTTTATAACCAGGTTTATCTTTTATGTTAACGCCCTGCATATAAAGAATTGCAAATGAAAGTTGCATTTGTAAGGGCTTGGTTAGTTACAGTATAACGTACAGGAGGATATTACAAAGCTTCAGGTGTCTGCACCTGAGGCCTCAGTCATTTTAACATGAGGTGGTGTTCAGATAATCCCTCCTTGCTGCTATTTTCAGCCATGTCATCAATGATCAGAACTCAGGAAATGAAGACAAGGAAAGCAAAGGAAAAGAAGAAAAAGCTATCAAAGTGAAGACACCTTATACATTAGTGATTACTTTCACGTATGTACATTGTGTTCAAAATATGTTATATTTTTAAAGATTAATAATAAAAAATTCTTACAGTTTTGTAATTCTTGCCTGGAACCGTGACACTACTTACCACTCATTTAAAAGTAAAAACTGTAAAGACAGAGGAGTAGAAATACCTCTAAATACAGACTCTCACTGGCATACATTTTCAATAGCTGTGTGCTGTGAGGGACACGGGCCACAGGGCACTGCTCAACACTTCAAGTTCCAGTATTTCTATGTGTTCTGGATATTGCACACCATTTCAGGTCCTGTTTTTAGAAAGTTAGTTTTGAAATGGTTTGTTGAGATTTTTTTTTTTTCATTCTAAAATAAATTGGTTTCCCTCTCTCCATACTTCATGTTATCACTTCAATAAATTCTGATTAATCTAGATGTCCCAGAACTGCCAAGTATTTCCAATAGAAGGAGAAACCTGCCCGTGGCTGATGGTTAATGTTGAGAAAAAACGTTGAACTACATACCTACAACTGCAAGACTGCACAGTTTTCATCCTATATCATGATTCCTTTAAGCAGAATGGACTCATCAAGTGGTATTTTTTTATGTAATTTTCACTGCTTGTTGGGATATTTGGCTTGATTTATAGTACAAATGAAGAGTCCACAGTCTGCCTTGGGATTAGCTTTGTGAGCCTAGCACTCACGTTTTGACTTACAGCTGAAGCTGTGTATGTTCCTAGTTTGGGACTTACTGTCCTCCTACTATCCGTGTCCCTACATAAAAACTAAAATAGGTGAAGTTTAAGCAGAAAAAAATGTATTTTGGCTTTATAGTGACTTTTTTTTCTTACAACAGTCTAATACGACTTAAATACCAGGCTCTACCACTCATATTAAGAATTCTGCTGAAATAGCTGGGCAAGTTACTTTCAGTTGGTCTCCAAAATGCTGTCAGTTGAGTCACCAATACAGACAACCTTCCCTTAGTATGGGTGCCTAAGAATAATGTTTTCAAAGGCCGTTTCTAGTGTAAGATTTAGTAATAAACAGGAAGGCATGTTGAGCACACCTGGCACACATGAATTTAGTTTAAAACCTCCTTGTGACATTTGAGGATTTTACAACAGTGGGCAAATGACTTCCTGCGGTTCTAAAGAGTTCAAAGACTATCCAATGCTAAAAACAATTCCAAAGTAATAAGATGAACAGGATCACTAAAGTATCAGATTGATGTTTAAAGCCTCATTAGTGTCTAACAATATCTCAGGGAACAAGATAGTTGTTGAAAAGAAGGAAGGGGAGGAAGAGTTTTCATCCCAAATTGAGTACTTTTCCAGAATTTGCCATTTGATTTATGTCTAGGAAGTGTTTGTGAAGAGCAGATTTTGGCTGAGATGTTGGTCAGGGAAGCTGCTGGACTGGTAGCAGGGGAGTCCTTGCTCGGTTCTAACAAAACAAGGGGCGAGATGACTCTGCAAGAAATGGGTACCCAAGCACAGAAAAGTGGACCATCCCCAGGGTCAGCAGGAGGTGCTGGTGGGGCAGTATCACTAGTGTTAGGTTTTTTCCTCATCATCTGCTTTCTGAAAAGCAGTTCTTGCCTTGGATTTGTGGCAGCATGGAATGCCATGCCTGAATTGAAGGGGCTTACTTGATGATTTTGTCCACAGCCAATGGTTTGTAGCTACAACTCAGCAAAAGTATCTTCGTGAGCACAAGCCATGCAGATACAAGCTGGGGTTTGTTGACTTTAAAGCAACGTAACTATATTCAGAGTAGATCAAATCTCTGAGGTTTTTTTAGTTTGAAGTCTTCTTGTGTGGGAAGAAGAGATTAGTGGGTTGTTCCTAAGCTGTCCTCAGATATTGTAAACAATATATTTTTAATACAGGTAATTGTCGTATTTCCTGATACTTTTTTCCCCATGGGTTTTGTCATTTTTTGCAACAGCATTGCAAACTTAGTTAATATGTTATAAAGACAACTCCCCTAGGTATCGGTGGTATTCAAAATGAAAGGATTGGTTTAGATAGCTTGTGTATCACAGTTTGGACTTGTTACACATATTTGACAGATCTACCAAGGTTTTCATAAGAAAAGGGTAAGGTGCAGAGAATGAGAGCGTGTATTCACCCCATAGCTCAGCAGGCTGGAAAAGGTCAATGAAAAGTGCACTCTCAGTTGGGTTCAAGGAGCCAAGCTAAAAAGAATTTCAAAAGACAGTGAGAAGAGAAGGGAGCAGGTGGAGAGATGCAAATAGCCAGAGAGAAGGGAGACCTGCCAAGCAGAAAGGCAGCTTCTCATCTTTGTGCTGGAATCCAGTGGATTTGGGAACAATTCTGGGCTTCCTCCCTGCCAACAGCAGAAGGGAAGGAATTGACCTGGCAAGGTGAAAGGATCATAAGCCTGTGGGCCATATAGCAGCTATATACATCCTGGATTTTGCAGCATGAACAGCACTTTGTTATTCCATCTCACGCAGGTGGATGACAGGAGGACTGTTAGGCAAATCTTGACCACAGCAGGAGACCACAGATGGCAACCAGTCCCCTAGACAGAAAACCTAATGCCGGCCTAATATTTTTTTGAATGGATCATTTGGAGAGACTCCAGACAGCAAGTTTAACTCCCAGGGAGAATGTGGGATGGGCATGGGTTTTGCAAAGGCACCGGCAAAGTGAATAGGAAGCAAACAAGTCGCAATACAAGTTTCTGTATGTTACTTTTAAACTGGTTTATGCCCAGTGCCCATTCCAGCCTCAGGGCACCTGCTCAGCCTACCATCCGGGCGCCGCGTTTAGCATTTGTACGCTGAACTACTTCATGAATAGGACTAGATTGCATTTCACCTAAAAGTAACCTCGTTGTCTGGTTTGTGGGAAGTTTGTTGTCAGCAGTATGAGCAAGTGAACTTAAAAGGCAGATTTTGGTTGCAGTCTTTCTGGCTTTGCCAAGCTGTGAGCGACACAGTTCATTGTTTACTTTGAGATATCCCCAGCCGCTGGCTGCTAGGCTGTTACATCCACGTAGGAATGTCAACAAGAGCTTGTTTCTCACATGGTCGCTTCACGAGTCTCACAGCCAGGACACTGTATTAGACAGATACCAGCCCTTTCTAGCATGATCATTTTTATACAGCAAGGCAACTTTATTTAAATCCACCTTCACGCTTGAGGGAATAGATTGTTCAATAATGAGAAATCACCTCCATAAACTCGGAGAAAATACTAATGAGCCTCTCCAACAATACTGAAATCCAGAGTTCTTGCTTTCACCATACAAATGACATTTACATAGTGCAGGTCCTGCTGGGCAAACAGTTATGTGAATGGCATAAAAATTTAGAGGTTACAGCAGAACTGCGGTGCAGGTCGTTGTAGAAACCTTGCTTGATCATTCAGCAAGATGATGCAATCATGAGGACTATATGTGTTGTCTGGGGGATCAAAGTGCAGGGTATTTAATTAAAAAAAATTGTTCTTAATTTGAGAGACTTCTCAGGGTTAGTCTGTTTGAAATCATCACTGCATTAGAGAATCTATTCTAGTGTAGGCTAAGTGGCTTTCTAGTGAATATCTTAATCTAATACCACGGTTAATCTTCTCAGACAATGTGTGTATAAATACACTCAAATGGCAGTGACTACTGGACAAGTGCTTTTTAAGTTGGCAGTATCTCACTATTTGAAGAGCTTGGAAAAAAGAATTGTAAACAGCTTGAAATAGCATGTTTTGCTTTGACTTCAGTGATTTCTAAAGATCAACTGTATGTTAGGTATATTGTTCACTTAAATTTATTGTTAGAAAAGCTAAATGTAAAAAATGCAATTAAGGTTCCAAGCCATTCGTTCCAGCAAATTTTACCTATTCAGTTAAAGCTGTAAGATACTGATTGAAACCCACACAAATGTTTTGTGTACTCAGTGGTGAACTTAAAGAGCATAGTAAGCATAGTCATAATAAGCAGTAGAAATATTTGTTACAATGAAACAGTAGCCACTAAAATGAAATAAGCTTCGTGTTACTATTTATTTTTTAACCCAGGGCATGCTCACTATGTGCTATTATCCTTTTAAGTTCGTGTAGTAAGTTAAGTCCCATATTCGTTTCTTGTTGAGAGTTGAGGACTGGTGTATTATACACGTGCATGGGTTTAAGACCACTGAAGCAGCATCAACCACCTGCTGAATCGTCAGCTCCATCGTCTCCCGTTTAAATCAAGTTGCCAGAAATGACACCACATTCCTTCCAGACCTGCAACACTTCTCACACGGAAGTAGTTACAGGGGTATTTTTTATCCCGAACAAGCCGTTAACAAAAAGCTTATGGTCAGCCTTGAGTTTGGCTCCCACCCACATGTCCTACCTTGTTCTCCTCTATAAAAAGTCTCTTAAAGGAAATCAAGTTTATTCACCCAAATCTTTATGTTGCTTAAGACAAGCAGAGAGCAAAGCTTGTGTCTGCAGGACTGACTGACCCACAGAACAAGTTGCCAATGCAGTTGTTAATTTGCCTTAATCTCTCTCCGTCTTCACCCTCCCCTTGACAGCCACCCCCTACTCCTCCTCAAGACTTTTTTTGGCTATTCTGTGGCTATGCCTGCGTGAGCACCAGCACGGCCCACTCCCAGTGGATTTGTTTCATGAAACAGCTGGTGCTGAAGTCCCAGTAATGACATTTCAGACACTTGTTCTTCACAGCTCTAGTATTGTCCCACCAACTGGATGTTCATTATCCACTAGATGCAGGAGGTAAGCCTCTGAAGGTCGTCTCCCAAAATCCATTCTATTTCACATCTTCAGACTGCTCCCCCACGCAAAGCAGGAAAGAATTAACGGAGGCAATTAGACCAGCAATGTGCTTTTGAAGTAAACCTTCCAAACCAAAGTGCTTTTACGCACTTCCAGAACTCCTACAAAACTGTGCTCTTCAGACCAAGTTCACTCCAGGGAAGTGATACTTGTAAACTACAGCTAGGTTCCTCAGGATGGAAGGAAGAGCTTGCTGAAGTGGCATCATGTACTTGTAACCAAAAATAGGAGAAGCAGGCAAGCTCTCTGCTCTGTCATATAAAAAAAAAATACCAACTGGTTGAAGCTGGAAGTATTCCACTTCATCTGGCTTACCAGAAGGCTACAACTTAAATTTGTGTTGAAAAAGCTTAGTCTTGAAAAAAAAAAACCAAAAAAAAAAACCAACAACCAACAAACACCATAGAAGTTCAAGCTAAGTAGTTGCTAGCAATACTGTGGTATTGTTCCTAGGTAGACAGAATATGCCACCTGTTTCAGAAAGTTCAGAAACAATCCTATTCCCTAGCCATGACAGCAGTCCAGGGTTTTTTTAAAGCCTGCTCCCACCCCGACAAAGTAATTCATTAAGCCCAGACAGCCCTTCCTGACCTTTGCTCTCCTCTCAGCAGGATGATCTGACTAAAAGGGATGGATCTGCCAAGCCTTCATTTATGCTGAGGGGCTTCCTGGAGAGTAGGGAGTAGAGAATGAAGTACTTCGGGGTTAAACCTTTATTACTCCACTTTTCAGGAATTCTTTGGCACTCAGATTGCAGGTCAAGTAACTCGCTTCCATCAAGGTTATTAAAATGAGTCAGTTCACTGGTCTGTAAGGGACCGTCGGTCTGAAAGTGTTTATTGTTTACTTAATACATTACATAAGTTAAAACACTTCAGTTCCTACTACAGTGTAGGTAACCACGCTTCCTAGTAAGCTGCCAAAGCCCTAAGCAGTCGGTACAAAGATGCATCCCATAGCCCCACTCAAAGCAACACGAACTCAAGTCCAGGGTCCAGATTTCCCTAGACAGACAGCTGCTTGGAATGCTGCTCGTGCCTTCATAGCCTACCTTGAGCATCTTCAGAACACGCTTGGAGTTGGTTTCTCAGGTTGCCAAATGATTTCCTAAAGGGGATGGCAGAGATCGGCTGGTCACGCAGTTTAACCAGGTTTTATACGGGATTTACAGAGCTCTGCACTTGAGAAGGTCTTCTACTGAAAAAGGGGTAAAAGTTTAGGGGCTCTGTGATTAAACTAAGCAGGTTTGCCATCAGATTAGCAGCTTCCAAAATCCCATTAATGGTGTCCCCACCACCGATGAACAATTTTGTCTTCGTGTTCAGTCACCAGGGTCCTATTACCGCATTCTTCCCACCGTCTGACCTTCCCGTTCTCCACCAGGATAAACTTCCACTCCACTTTGGTGTCCACTGGCAGACTGATGGATTCGGACCAGAAGCCATCCTTGTCATACTTGAGGGGAACGTAGCTGTGCCACTGGCCGAGACACTCGTGGTCACCAGTAACACCGATCAGCTGAGCGTCAGAGTGGGTGATGTAGTGGATGCGGAAAGTCACGTGGATATTTTGAAACATGGGGGGCACAGCAGCAACCCTCTTTGCTTTCAGGTCCCCATCGGGGCAGTCTCCTTGTTCCCATTCCTTGCTGTCAGGATCTTCCACGCTGCCGTTCTTGCCAGCCTCCCCCCAGGCCAGGTGCTCGGAGAGATCTTCCCACTCTTCATGGTCCATACCCTCAGCTGGCTGACCCAGCTGCTCCTTGCTTCTGTCCTTACAAACATCACCAGAGGCTCCTACCAAGTTCATCACGCTCCATCCATCACTTGTCTGTCCCGTCTGGGGTCTCAACTTGCCTGCCTGGCCGCCGTGCCCATCAGCTGGATGCTCCCTGGAGTCGGTGACGCTCTGCTTTGGGAGCAGCTGCTCCATCTCCAGAGGTTTGCCTGAAGCTCCACCGCTTGGAACATGGTTAAGCTCTTTCCTCGGTACAGCCACCAGATCTTCTCCTGCCTTCCAAGAGCTGGACAGGGCAGCAGCCTTGCCTTCCAGCAGCGTTTGCTCATCGCTCCCCAGAACACCTTCTAAAAACGACACAGAATTCAAACAGGAATGGTTTAAGGAAGGCAGAAAAGCTCAACAGCGGCAAACCCAAGTTCTGGCTGGCAGCCTGGGCGGACCCAGACCCCCCCCCGGCTCTCCCCGCACCACCCCCGCCCGCTACCTTTGGCCGCGGCTGCTTCGTCCTTCGCCGTCG